GTGCCGCCTCTTTCCAGCCTGCCTTCTTCCCTACGCCTTTACTAACTTTAGTCTCCGGTAAATCACCAAGAGCTGGTTATTCTGAGGTGTGTGCGTCTCTCTCGTGCGATTCTTCCCCTTACAGACCTGTCAGTGGTTTGCCTGAAAATGGAGCCATGGGGGTGTGTGTTGGGGGTGGTGGGGTGGAATTCCATTCAGCTCCAGACCCGAGGGGTGACTGTAGGCCAGAGTCTTGGGGGTGGGTTCTACCAGTCTCTATGTGACCAGCAAGCCTGGTCCCCTTCAACTTTGTGTTCTATCCCGTTTTTCTCTATGGAGTGGCCAGCCTGGTCCATGTCGTTGGGAGTAGAAGCCACCTACCTCCCCGTTCTTCTAAATTCTGCCGTTTCTGAGGGTGCGACCTTTGAGAAGCCGGTTGCCAGGCACCTGTGGGTTGGTCTGAACTCCCCAGTTTTTAGCTAACAGTGAAGTGCTACAATTTTAACCCCCTTGGGACTCCGTACAGGAGCCCTGGTAGCAGTGGCTGGTTATGTGGTGGGCTGAGGAACACAAGGTTGGCAGTTTGAAACCACCAGCCTCTCCCTGGGAGGAAGAGGGGGCTTTCTGCTCTGGTAAAGAATTAGAGCCTTGGAAACCCACCCAGGCAGTTAATTCTACCTTATCGGATAGGGGTCGCTATGAGTCGGAACTGACTCAGTGGTAGTGAGTTCAGTATGGGGCTCCGTGGGCTGAACTGTGCCCACTCCAAATGCATGCCACCTTGTTTAGATGTGACCAAGATAGGAGTTGATATGACATCCTACTTGGTTAGGATGTTCCCTAAGCCCAAGGGGAGTATCCCTGGGAGAGACAGAAAAGGATACGGGAAAAGCCATGTGATTGGAGCATGAGTGTCACCAGCCAGGGGTGCCTGGGGCCACGAGAACCTGAAGGGTGCCAGAACCCTCTAGATTCTTCCATAGGAGGCTCTGTGATTCCAGCCCCCAGCCAAAGGCGAGAACATAAATAAGCTTCTGTCATCTGGGCCCACCCAGTATGCGGTCACACATCCCAGCAGCCCTGGTTAGCGGCCGTCAGTAGGTTCCGGCTCAGGGTGACCCCGACCTCTCACGTGTGTCAGATTAGGACTGGGTTCTCATTAGCTGGGTGTCTTGAATAGGTTTTGTTTTTCTTTGTATGATTCTAAGAACAAAAGGAAAATATGTATGTATAAATCAAAGCAAAATAAAGAAAGGTTGCTTAAAAAGAAACAAAAAAGCCCGCCCAAACAAACAAACAAATTTCAATCACGGGTAGATCAGATAAGGAAGGACATTTAAAAAGCCAGTTAGATATCCCAGAGACACTGGTGACATTTCGTAACCATTCATAATAAGTGGGTAAACGAGAAAAGAAAATGCTTCCTCGGTGTAATGCCGGAGTCTACGCCCTGGTCAAGATCGAGGCCTCTGAGGAAGCAGCGATACACTAGGTAGAGGAGTGTGAGTGTACAGTAAGCAAACCCGTCAGTGGACTGGGATATAGAAAGTCAGAGGCCAACCTTCAGGTGAGGGTTTTCTGTCTGAATGAGAGCTTCTCCATCAGTGAGGAAATGGACGCCTTTAATGACCAGCATTGAGACTCTTGGCAGGGCCACTTCAGGCAACGACACCAAGCTCCTCGTGTAGTAGATCCCGCCCTGAAAAAAGATCCACGCCACTAATGAGTGGGAACATGCGAACCAGACCAGAGAAGAAGAAGCAAACAGGGAAATAGAGCCGTGGCCTCTGAACCCTGACTAACGAGAGACCAGGAAGGAGCTGCGTGGTCAGTTCCAGCTCACCTGTGCTATGACCCGAGATGGTGTCCAGTTCGACCACGGGGAGAGGCTCAGTGGAAACACCTAGCAAAGGGCACCATGCCGATGATGTTAAAAGCAGCACGCACGTCGGAAAATAGAATCCTGCAGCCCGAGAGGAGGCTCTGTAAGGGATACCGATGGGTAAGTCATCAAAGAGGAAGGAGCACCACGGGCCAGGCTTTGATTTGTTTTGCTTTTTACTCCCTGTCCTTTCATCAAAGGGAAACGAAGCCGGTTTTGTTTGTTTGCTTCTGCAGAAAGGAAAAGTGTTCATAAGTCTGGGCAAGGTGATAGGAAATGAGTATTTTCATTCTTGTTGGAAATAAATTGGAGCAGCTCGTTGAGAGAACCATTTTGCAGTCTTTATTAAAATAATGTACATACCCAGTGCCTTGTTTTTTGAAAATTTGACCAAATTCTGATGATATGGAGAGAGAAAAATGAATCGGTGCGTCACTGGGTTTGCAGAAGGCTATGAAGGACGGTGAAAGCTAAAATCCATCTGTTGGGTCCCCCACCCCGTGGATTAATCCTCTGGTGACTCTCCTCTGACCATTGACCAGGGATGGAAATAACTGCCGTCAGACAGAGTGGATTGAAAAGTGGGTTAAAGCAAAAGGAGTGAGGTTAAAATGTAACATCATCTCACTTATTTTCCCTTTTGACCCATTTTAAATTTGTTCTAGTTTTGTGTTTTGCTCTCGTTTGCACTGAGGGTTTTCTGGGTGTTGCTGTTGAGTGTGGGGGTGTGATTTTCCTTAAGTGAGATCCAGGATAGGTAGGTCTGTAGAGACCGTCGCTTCTTAGAGTCATGGCAGGGGAGGTTGAGGGGAGATGGGAAGCTAATAATAAACGAGCATAAGATTGAAGAAGTGCTCTAAAACTGGTGGTGGTGACGCTTTACAATTCTCTTGAACATAGTTACATCTTTGAGTTGTATGGTATGTGAATTGAAAGTCAGTAAAACTCCCCAAAATTAAAAGAAAAAATTTTTAATTGGTGCCAGAATAGAAGGATTATAAGAAAGGTTTAAAAAAAAGAAGAAGAAGAAGAGATCCAAAGCCCATTAGTAGGCCACTGGAGATCCCCTTGCAGAGGGGTCTCGGGGCGGAGATGAGCCAGTCAGGGTGCGATGTAACAATGATGAGAAATACAACCTTCCTCTAGTTCCTAAAAGTTTCCTCCCCGCTCCCACTACCATGACTCGAATTCAATCTTGCAAGACTGGCTAGACCAGAGGAGGTACACTGGTACAGATAGGAACTGAAAATACAGGGAATCCAGGACGGATGAGCCCTATAGGACCAGTGGTGTGAGTGGCAAAACAGGGAGGGTAAAAGGAGAATTGGGTAGGAAAGAGGGAACCGATTACATGGAACTGTGTGTGACCTCCTCCCTGGGGGACAGACAACCGAAAAGTGGATGAAGGGAGACGTCGGACAGGGCAAGATATGACAAAATACCCATTTATAAACTATCAAGGGCTCATGCGGGAGGGGGGAGCGGGGAGGGAGGGGAAAAATGAGGACTTAATGTCGGGGGTTTAAGTAGAGAGAAAATGTTTTGAGAAACGAGGTACAAATGCGCTTTACACAATTGATGTGTGTATGGATTGGGATAACAGTTGTATGAGCCCCTAATAAAATGTTAAAAAAAAAAAAGAAGAAAGGTTTATGGGCTGTGGTATTATTGAAGACCCATCAGGCTCTTTGTTTCTTTTAAATGAATGGCCCTCGCAGCAGTGGCAGGAACGTGTCGTTTTTGGAAAGTAGCCCTAGAATGACGAATTTTGAAAGAGCAAAATGTTCCTTGGCACTACTGAACCAACAGCAGAGGTGTTTGGGGGAAACAGGACGTTGGAAAGATGCCCTGTGTCACAGGCCCCGCTGTAGACGGATGCGATCCCAGGGCTCAGGGGAGTTTCCAGACTGAGTCAGGCCAGGAAGAAAGGCCTGGCCGTCCACTTCCCAAGCCAGCCCGTGACAAACGCCTGTGGGTCACAGCAGAGCCGTGCTGCATCTGAGAGGGTGCCGGGAGGTTGGCAGGTGAGCCTCAGAGGTTGGAAGACCCTCAAACACCCAGCTTAGCAATGAAATCCAACAGACACTGCGTGAAAGGAGCCCCGGCGGTGGCAGTGGCACTTTTGGTTAAGCAGGAGACTGTGAACCCCAAGGTCGGTGGTTCCGATCCACAAGTTGCTTGGCAGGAGAGAAAGATGAGGCTGTCCGCTCCCATCACGTTTCTTAACCTGTGGCTCATGACCCCTTTGGGGGGGTTGAACAACGACCCTTTCACAGGGATTGCCTGATTCATAACAGTAGCAAAATGACAATTCTGAAGTAGCAACGAAAATTATTTTATGGTTGCGGGTCACCACCACATGAGGAACTGTATGAAAGGGTCGCAGCATGAGGAAGGTTGAGAACCACTGATTTACAGCCTCAGAAACCCTCTGTGGGTGGGGTCTCTGAGTCGGCTGCACTTCATAGCACTGGGAAAGGGTCAGGAGCAGGGGTCCTCACACTTTAAAAACGGGGCCAGTTCACTGTCCCTCAGATCCATTGGAGGGCCAGACTATAGTTAAAAAACAAACAAACTATGAACAAATTCCTATGCATACTGCACATACCTTATTTTGAAGTAAAAAAACAAACGGGGCAAAAACACCCGGCGGGCCGGATAAATGTCCTAGGCGGGCTGCATGTGGCCCACGGGCCGTAGTTTGAGGACGCCTGGCCGTGAGGATGGTGCAGGAGCTGGTAGCCCTGCATTCCTTTGTGCATGAGGGAGCCATGGTGTGGAGCTGACGCCATGACTACAGACAAACAAGAATGGCTAAAAAAGAGAAGTCAAGGAGAAAGACCAGCCGTAGTAGAT